AACAAAGTAGCAAAAGGACTACAGCTTTATCTTGGTGGTAGAATGCTTGCCTGGTGTGTACACACAAGGTCCTGCTTGGTCCAGCACTACAGAAAAAAAGAACCAAGGCCAGCCTGAGCCCCACAGCAAAACCCTGGGAAGTGTCCTGGGAGACCTTCTGCCAATCTTTCCTTCCTGTGGCTCCTGAAGCTTGAAGGTGGCTCTGTGAGGCAGTGTTGTGTGACTTTTCCTTGGGCGATGCGAACACCTCTCTATTGACACCAGATTGAACACCAGTGACAGACCAAGAAATGGCTGCATGCAAGGCTGGGTTGGTGAACCAAGTTTACTGAACTTACGTACAGCAGCACAAGAAGAGAACTAGAAGACAGACGGAAGCCCTAAAAGGGCTGCACCCCAACGTGAGTAACCACCTCACAAAGGCTGCACAGATGGTGCCCCTCCTTCAGGTAGCTTTCTCTCTCCTGTATACTTCACTCACACACACACCTGCAGACCAGTGACCATAGCTGTGGCAGGGTTTCCAGCACTGGTACCAGCACAGGGGCGGGGGTGGGGTGGGGGAAAGGGGGTGTGCAGGAGGGAGCCCCTGGAATCTCAGGTGAGGGGCTAATGAGCCTTCCTTTCCTCCCCTGACCTCAGGGGGGAATCTCACCAACCCCCAGAGTCACACCTGGGTGGGAGGCGAGAGCAGCAGATGCATTAGACTCTGCTGCCTTTGACCCTTGTTAGCCAAAAGATTCTACTTGGCTTGCAATATCAAAAGCATTATTTTGCAGCTGGTTATGGTGGCTCATGCCTGTAATCTCCAAAATTAGGAGGCTGAGGCAAGTAGATCATGAGTTTAAAGCTACCCTAGAAAACATAATGAGATACTGTCTTTAAAAAAAAAAAATCCTTCATGGACACTAGGGACTGTAGGTCAGTATTAGAGGGATTGCCTCCAAAGCATGGGTCTTAGGCTTGAAAAATAAATCAATTCCAGAGCTGGGGTGTGGTCCCATGGTAGGTAGAACTCATGCCTAGCATGTTATGACAGCATCTTATACCCAGAATTAAAATGTGTGGTATGTGAGTTTGTGTGCTCTGGGAAAGGACTCTATTGTAGAATTAATGAGGGAAAGTCCTGTATTAATTACTCTTCTCACACTGAGACAAAAATACCCAACAGCAGCAATGTAATGGAGATTTTACTTTGGCTCAGGGTTAGAGCACTGTGTGCCACAGCAGAGGACTTCATGGCAGGAACAGGAGGTGGGTGGTCACAGGGCAGCTAGACTCAGAAAGCGTCAGGAGACAAGAGTGTCTCTTGTTCGATTTTTCCTTCTCTTTCAGTGCAGGCTCCGGTTCGTGGTGTGGTGTTGCTGACATCCAGAGCAAATCTTCCTCTTCCCACCTTGCTTAACCCAAACCCTCACAGGCAATCCCAGAATTGTCTCCCGATGATGATCAAATATTAGCATCACATTCCTAATAGAAATGAGTCAATTTATAATTTGATCAAAAGAAAGTGCTGGCCCTGGTGGCACATGACTGTTTGGCGTTTGTTTTAATTTTTAACTTTTTTTAATGCATGTTTTTGCCTGCATGAAGGTCTCTGCAACACCTACATGCCCCTGCCTTCAGAAACCAGAAGAGGGCCCCAGTCCCTGGGACTGGAGTTACAGATGGTTGTGAGCCACCATGTAGGTGCTGAGACTAGAGTTCTGGTCCTCTGGATGCCGATGACCTTAAACTGCTATGCCACATCTCCAGCCCCCTAACACACACCTTTAATCCCAGCACTTAGGAGGCAGAGGAAGGCAGATCTCTGTGAGTTTGAGGCCAGCCTGGTCTATATAATGACTTCCAGGACACCCGTGGCTACATATTAGTGATAACCAATCTCAAAAAAAAAAAAAAAAAAAAAAAAGGAAAGAAAGAGAGAAGAGAAGAGAAGAGAAAAGCAAGTCAGCACCCTTATCAGAACCTTTCTTTCCCCCTTTATTTTCCAAACTGATACATTTTCTCACAGTACTAACAAAGTAAAAATGGTACCCTGCACTTTTCAAAATCGCCTTCAGAGAGTAAGGCAGAAACGGCTCCAAGTTCAGGGCCCACTGTGCCAGTGCCGCACACATTACCTAGAGATGCCCCATGGCAGCGGCTCTGGCCTCCCTACTCTGAAACGTCAGACAAGCTGCTGAGTGGCTGTGGCTGCTTCAGTCTGGAAAAGTTGCCTGCGGGTGAGCAGTGCCCTCTGTGGAAGCAGGATCTTCCCACCCCCACCCAACACACCCAGAGTTAACCTTGGCCCTCAAAAATTTCCCAGAAGGGATTCATAAAGGGGTTTTCCCCAGACAAACAGACACCTCATACATACTTGCCACTGAGCACAGATGTTTGCCTGGGGGTGGGAGTGCTGAGAGACAACAAAGGTACACAACTTTAGGGTAGCAGGTAGTCCCAAACAAAGCCAGACAGGCCAGGGCGGGCTAGAACTGGGATGCCCAGAAGGCCTGGATTTATTCTGTATTCTGGTGTCCCTTCTGTCGTCCGCGTCCGCGTCGCACAGAACCTGAAACTCTCCTCTCCGCCCAGCAGGCGGCGCAGCGGCTCCAGGAGCAAGGGGTTAGTGAGATTGTGCTGCGGGGTCTGAGTTTCAGCAAGACTGTTTTGCTCGGTATTTTCCCTATTACCCAATTCCAGGAAAACGTATGCCCAAACACAAGTCCCCTGCCTCCTGCGGGACTCCATGTGGGCAGTGACTTTATCTTAGCAAAGACTTTATCTCAGCCTCATCTCTGCGCTCCAGCCAAAACAGATGAGCCACCTCTCTCTAAAGGCCTGAGTGGCAATGCTGGAGCAGGTCCCGTCGGAGCCGAGGTTCCCGCCACCCTCTCCACCCAGCTCATCCCTGATAGACGCGGGCAGTCAGGAGGCGGACGTGTCCCTGCCAGGCTGGGACCAGGGAGCTGCGCAGCGCGGGATCCCTGTGGCGGCCGCCGGAGGCGATCTGGCCCGAAGCCGTCTCCCCTAGAGACAATCCTGGGCTATTTTCTCTAAAGATGCACTACGGCCGAAGCCCTCTGCGAGCTTCCCAGCAGTCACGTGTTCACACCTTTATAGTGGGTGGCCTCACTCGCCAAACACTGGCTGGCTACTGTTCACGCTGGCGCCGGCAGCGCGACACGGAACAAAACAAAACCCTAGGAAGCAAAGGAACTAGGAGAGGCACTCGCACCACGAGGAGCGAGCGCGTGGGGGACCTTCACCTAGGTGCCCTCCAGATGAGCAAGAGGCAGGTGA